AATCTTCCATCTTTCACGGCCTCTCTGGTGCACCCTTCCCATGAATAGGTTACCAGTGCCGACAGCAGTGCCTGGCACGTGGCAGGTGCAGGCAGTGTCTGGATGAGGGACCAGCTGTTTCAGCCCCTTCTTTCTCAACTCCCTTCACCTACTGTCCTTGCCACACATTTACGTACACACTCAGCTCTGGAGTTTTTGATTGTTTATGGGGAGTGCATGTGTGTATGTGCATGTGTTTCTCTGACCAAATTCAAGCTCCTGAGGGCAAACCTGAAACTCGTACTTCTTACCTGTGCTCTGCTGCAGCAGGTGCTCCTAGTCTCATTTATTTCAAATATGTTTTTATTGATTTCAGAGGAAGGGAGAGGGAGGGAGAGAGAAACATTAATGATGAGAGAGAATCATTGATCGGCTGCCTCCTGCATGCTCCACACTGGGGATCGAGCCCACAACCCAGGCATTTGCCCTGACCAGAATTGAACCGTGACCTTCTGGTTCATAGGTCAGCGCTCAACCACTAAGCCGTGCCTGCTGGGCCTGTCTCATTTTTAGTTGCTCTCTCCTTTCCCCGAGCTCTACAGTAGACAGAAGCAGCCATGCTTTCCTCAAGCAGGAAGTGATAGCGGGAGTCCTAAGAGTTGTGTTAATGAGTGAGGGGTTGGGACAAATCAGAGGTGAAGAGCCCTGGAACGGAAAGTCAATTATTGACCTTGAGAGGACACTGAACCACTTTTAGTGAGTGGGGGGAAAAGCATCAGATGGTGAGAGCACTGACATAAATAAAGAAGGCATGGATTTGGCATCTGGTGTGTATTTCACTGAACTACTCATACTCTAGAGCTGTGCTGTCCCAAATAGTGGCTACTAGACCCGTGGTGGTTCTTTAAATCAACATCCATTCGGCTCCTCCCTTACTCTAGCTACAGTGACGTGCTCCATAGCCACCTGTGGCAGGTGGCCACGGGGTGGGCAGCACAGGCCCCGAACATTTCCTTCACTGCAGAAGCTTCTGTTGCCAGCACTGTGTTGAGCTCGCTAATAGGAACATTGTAGAAACCAGGATGAGTTTTGTTAATTAGGTTAAAAGTAGACATGCAGAATGTATCACAGAGCAAATGATTATTTTGGGTAAGAAGGGGTCGAGGACCTATTTCTAGCATTCTAAGAGCCAAGATTTCTGTGTTCTTTGTCCTACTTCTCAGTGTTCTTTACAGCATACCCTGTACCATACTCTGTAGACAAAAAGAGCAATGGTGTGAAGCCGTGAGATTAAAAGCTTTGGCAGAAGTGAATGCAGTGGGTTATTTAGCACACAGACATGTCTATTACAGACAAGTACATGTATATTAACTCAACCATTGGCGATGTCTTTGAACAAAGATATGGCTTTTCAGAGAAATGGTTGCACCATTAAATAATCAGGTGTCATTATTAATCACATTATTTATCATGTGAGCCCTTTAAGCAGTTTTCTCAGGCTAATAGCAGAAGTTAGAGATTCAAAACAGGAGGAGGCAGCATTTGCTGGTTTAAGATGGAAGCCACATAAGGAGAAATGCAGATGGCCTTAAGCTGAGAGGCCTCCCCTGACAGCCCAGGCAAAGGGACCTGCATGGCCCCAGGCACCGAACACAGCCAACACCTGACCAGGTGGGCAGGTGGGTTCTCCTTTGCCTTCCGACACCTTGATTCCAGCCTGAGACCGAGCAGAGCATCAGTCCAGCTGCCTAAACTGAGAGATATGCAATGAGTTTCTAAATTTGTGATGATGTGTTATGTAGCAATGAAAGATGAATACAGTATTTAAAAGGTGAAGAGGGAAAATCTTCATACAGATTCCCTCTAGTACGGTGGTATTTTCGGCAAATGCATGAGTAAAATCTTACTAGGAAATCCTACACCTGGGCTTCATCTGGGATTTCTATGCCAGAGATCTGTCTTCATTGGAAATTTGTTGACAAAAACTTGTAGCATCTTAGTAGTGCGTCTAAAGCAGCGGTTCTCAACCTGTGGGTCGCGACCCCTTTGGGGGTCGAACGACCCTTTCACAGGGGTCGCCTAAATACGTCCTGCATATCAGATATTTATATTACTATTCAAAACAGTAGCAAAATTACAGTTATGAAGTAGCAATGAAAATAATTTTATGGTTGGGGGTCACCACATGAGGAACTGTATTAAAAGGTCACGGCATTACGAAGGTTGAGAACCACTGTTCTAAAGGAACTGCTAGTAGAAAGAATCCAAGTGTCTAAGGAATCTTTCTCCTAGAAAAAGTATTACCTTATGCCGATTTAGTCTGCTCTGAGCCTGTCAGTGTATTATTTAAGAATGATGAACAGTGGTATTTTAAATAAGATACTAAATTAGGAGGAAAGATCCTCTGCTTTTATGTAGAGACCGTATGATCAATCTACTTTTATTGGAGTACTTTTTTTTAAACCAAAACTTATTGTCTAAGCACAGATCAAATCCTATAGTGCCAACCAAATTTTTGTACTTGGCAAATATTTTCCAAAATATCTCTGCTTCCAAGCTATTAATTGCTAGTGAAGTTTTTTATTTTGGTTTGTCCATTAATTGTTGTGCTTATTTTTAGTATAATGCTATACTTACCCTTGATGTAAGTAAAATAAAACTAAAGGAAAAAAAAATGAGAGGCTAACACTGTCAGAGGTCAGAAATTGGGGTCATAAACATATCTTAGTGTTTTGAGGGAACTTACATATCACATCTTTCTTTTATAGAAAACTTTTCCAAACTATGTAGCAGTATTATAGTGTAAAAGTTAGTTTGTTGTAAATTTTAATCTTAACAGATATATGCCATAACTAGTATGCTTTCTTTAATGCATGTGGATATATAATACTGACAAGACTATTACCACAGTATATTTTTTTAAAAAAGAGGATTTGTTACTATGTCCGTATCATCAATATCTATATATAAGCCCTTCTCACCGGAAACAGTCCCCTCACCAGTGTGGGCACTAAGTAAGTCACTTTCAAAGGGACGGGGGCAGGAACAACCTGGCACTCCCCAGTGCATTTGAGTTCAGAATTTATGAGACACCATTCAAGACAATAAACAGAGTGTGCTGAATGGACTGTACTTTATGCTATTATTTCCAGTGTTGTCACTGTTGCAGTAAAAATGTAAAGTCTGTGCTAAAATTAGGTCTGTTTGCTGTGGGGAGTCCTCAGATGTTAGGGAAGCTATTGCATGTGTGCCCCTTGCTGCTAGCACTTCCTTGGTTTAGTAGCTAGCAAACTGTCCTGGAATCAGGTTCGGTACTCAAGTGTGAGTAGCATTTCATGATTTATTTGCAATGCTCAGTGTTTGCTAAAATGGGATGAAAACATCTTTTGAATACATTTTCTGAGCCTTAAAAATGGTGATATCGCCAGTACTGTAAGATGCACTGCCAGCAGATTTGATACTCTTCATTAAGTATAGACAGTAGTGTTTTTTAAGGAGATTTAGAAGTCAGCTGATTCACATAATCATCATGCTTCATTTATGGAATGAGAAACTAAAGTGTTTTCTCGTTGGGAACACTGCGGGAGAGGTGGTGTGCGCATCCGGGGAAGTTTCTGGAAGTACCCTTGGAGAAGCCGCCTGAAGAATTCGTTTCCCAAGTTGTACTCACTTTTTTTCTCCTTAATGTATTGTACATATTCCTTACAAGGTCGTCATTGGTTGAATGGGTAATACCTGTAGTAATATTTTAGGTACCTGTTAAATTTTCAAAGGAAGATTATTTTCAAATTTGCTGCTATAAGTTAATAACTGGTCCTGTTGACTGTGCCTTTCATCCCTGTTTGTGCCACACCGTTCATGTATATTTGAAAATAAAAATGTTTAAAAATCCATGCTGAATTCAAGATTCCCTCTAATAAAAAAATAGGTAAGCCCTAACCGGTTTGGCTCAGTGGATAGAGCGTCGGCCTGTGGACTCAAGGGTCCCGGGTTCGATTCCAGTCAAGGGCATGTACCTTGGTTTCGGGCACATCCCCAGTAGGGGGTGTGCAAGAGGCAGCTGATCGATGTTTCTCTCTCATCGATGTTTCTAACTCTCTATCTCTCTCCCTTCCTCTCTGTAAAAAATCAATAAAATATATATTAAAAAAAAAATAGGTAAGACTTCATGAAGCAAATTTTATTGGTTTTTAACACTGATATAATAATATATTTGAACTATTTTCAATTAGAAAACAGCAGTGGATCCTCTATGTGGGTTTTAGAAAATCTTGAAAGAAAACCTTGGTGTTGAGACAGTGGTTCTCGGTGTGATGCAGATACTCATACATTATGTGCTCTACTCAGCCCCCAAATTAAGAGCAGCCATCATGGGCCTCCTCACTCTAAGAAGTGTGTTTTTTAGCAGAGAAAATGCTCTTAAAGATATTTAGGGCCTGAAGGTTAGACTAAGATCATATACCCTACCCTACATAAATGTTTAAAATACAGCCCAGTAGTAAATGGAGGCTGAGTAAGTACCTTGTAACAGTGGGGGGAAGGGGAGCATATGATTATGTTCTTCAAAAAGAAGCTCTTTCAAAAAGGATTCATATTGAAAAGTTTTGCCTAATTTCCTCATGCCTTTCATACTTTGTATATGATTTTGTGTGCAAATATTAGAAGAAAACACATGCTTTAGTTTAAAAATATTTATTATAGAAATGTACATTTAATTAGTTTTAAGGAATGTATGACAATAGTGTTAACATATATTTCCTCAAATTCACAAACTTTACACCTTCAGGATATCTACAATAAGAGTTTATTTACAAGTTTCATAAGAAATCACTTCACCAATACTGTTGACACAGTTAAGAGGTAACAGTCTCACTTTTTTCACTTCACTCTGTACTTGTAGAAAGAACACAGTGTGTGGGTGAAGTTCCATCCTAGTGCTAGTGACAGCCCGTACAGCAGAACGAGAGGAGCAAATGGATACAGAAGAATTACTGTATTTTTCAAAAATGGCAATGCTGGAAAAGAAACAAATCCAAATTCACTTTTTAAATAAGGTAATGTGACTAATAAATGAACATCCTGAAAGACAGCTCTTCACAACACGGGCCAAAGAGGAACACTTATTTCATTCAGTCAGTAACATGAAGCTATGTAGCCAGAACCATCCTAAATCTTGCTGTGTTCTGTGTTGCCTCCTTCCTCACGCTGGGAAGAAACCCAGAAGGGAGGTTATTTTAGCACAAAGGCTGAGCGAGAAGCAAGTCCAGGACTGTCTCAATCTGTCTTAGATTGAGAACGCAGGATAAACATCACAAATGTTAATGAAATTGGTGGTGAGTTTAAACCTGTGACAGCTTCAGAAACTTCTAAGAGTCTATCTTAAACAGCGGTTCTCAACCTGTGGGTCTCGACCCCTTTGGGTCGCCTAAGACCATCGGAAAACACATATATAATTACATATTGTTTCTGTGATTAATCACTATGCTTTAATTATGTTCAATTTGTAACAATGAAATTGGGGGTCACCACAACATGAGGAACTGTATTAAAGGGTCGCGGCATTAGGAAGGTTGAGAACCACTGATCTTTAAGTACCAGAGATAGATAATATAATAGGAAAAACAATTTCCAGCTATTTTATTTTCCAATGTAGAAGGTGAGGTCTCCACTAGCGTCCCAAAGAGCTGAAACTCAAACATCAATTCTGTGCCCAAATCCATGTTTGTTTCTTGCCTTTCCTACCCCATGCATTCTTACCTAAATACCTCATACAGGAAGCCCCAAATTGTAACTGACCTATACTCAAAGAAGCTGTCCTAAACTATAGGGAGTTACCATAAGAGTGATAAAAAATCCACTGCGAGCCTGGCCGGCATGGCTCTGGTTGAGCAGCAACCTATGAACCAGGAGGTCATGGTTCTATTCCTGGTCAGGGCACATGCCCAGTTGCGGGCTCAATCTCCAGGGTGGGGTGTTCAGGAGGCAGCCAATCAATGATTCTCATCATTGATGTTTCTCTCACCCTCTCCCTTCCTCTCTGAAAAATATATATATGTATATATATTTTAAATCCACTTAGAGAAGCCACAATGCTGCAGCATGCCAATCACTATATGACATATCACAGGCCTCTCCCCTGAACTGGAGAAAGGATTCACGATACCTCAAACAAGGTATTACAATTTGAGGTATTTGGCTCTATTTAATGGAGATCATTTCTTAAAGGAAAACCAACATAAATATTTTCTCATATTAAGAAAAATGAACTGATAGCAGGATTTAACAATATTTGCAAACATATCCTCAGGTCAGAAGTCGGGCCTGATTTTCTGGAATCATCTACAGACCATATCTATAATAATCTATAATAATAAAAGCATAACATGCTAATTAGACCGAACAGCCGAACAACCTTCCGAATGAAGCTGGGGCTGCAGCCCCGGGATCGAGGCAGCCGCCTTGCTGTGAGGGAGGCATCGAGGCAGCTGCCGCAACTGCGAAGGCCTACTCTTCCACGAATTTCATGCATTGGGCCTCTGGTAGTGATTATAAAAATGGAAAATGAGGCACTCAAGTTCATATGCCCATTCATCTGACCAACCTTTTCCTCTCTAACCTACCATTGGTAACTCAAATCTGAAAGCCTGGAGAAAAAGGAAACTGGTTGTGGGTTCCTGTAGGTAACGTGGAGATAACCAATATGCTCTAACATGGTTCCTTGAAATCACAGAATTTGTTACAAACCAACTATGCCACTTTTGAGATGTGTGACTATGGACACGTGAACTTAATCTCTCTGTGCTTTGTTTCCTCATTTGAAAAATGGGGCTAAGTAAACCTAACTATAATAATAAAAGCATAATATGCTAATAAGACCGGTTGTCCTCCGGACGACCTTCAGGACGAACCGTGGCTGTGAGGGCTAAGCTCCTTGCACAAATACTGTGCATCAGGCCTCTAGTATTATATAATTATGAAGATTAAATGACATAATTCATATAAAGTTCTTGAGACAGTGCCTACAAAGGCTCCATAAAAGTAAGCTAATTTTATTACTGTTACAACTTCCCCCTCTCTGTTATGTTTTCAGTCAACCAAAAAAATTAGTTACTTACCACTGTATCCCAGGAAGGTTATATAGATGTAATAGCCAATAGCAATCAACCAGAAGGTATTTCCAACCAAATATCCAATAAATGTGTCTGTTAGGATGACATCTGCCAAAGAGACACAGACAATGACTCTCTTTTCATTGCACACTATGAAGACATTTAAAAAATATTTTGAGAAGTAACTGCTACTTACGGTTGATGAAAAACAGTTGGATGAAATGTAGAATGACTAGGAGAGGATAAAAAGCATTCAAATGCACATCAAAGGCATAGCCCCACTCCACATCATAGTCTCTGCTCTGCCGTTTCACTAAATACTTGTTAGAGATAAACCTAAAGAGCAAAATTAAAATTTCTTTTATAATACAACAAAAATTCTATAAGTGTTTACTGACTAGCTTCTATGTACCAAGCGTTATTTCATACACTAGAAATACAGCAATAAATATAACTCAAAAATCTCTGCCCTCAATCTAGGGGGAGTAAACTGACAATAGAATGTTAAGTGTATATTAGATGGTACTATGGAATGAAACAGTAACCCTGCTGGGTACTCAATTGGTTGGAGCATTGTCCCATACAACAGAAAGCTGCAGGTTTGATTCCCTATTGGTGCACATACCTAGGTTGCAGGTTCAATCCCCAGTCGGGGTGCATACAGGAGGCAACTGATCAATGTTTCTCTCCTTCTCTTTAAAAATTAATGAAAACATGTCCTCAGGGAGGAAGGAAAGTGGAAAGGAGGGAGAGGAAGGAAGGGAATGATCGAGAATACAGAGTTGAAATGCAGTGTTAGATAGGATGGTCACAAGAAAGTAACATCTGGGTGACGACCCAAGGCAGTGATGGGAATTACCTGGAGCAGAGCATTTCAGGCAGTGAGGCCAACACAGATGTGGAGGAGATTGAGTTCAGAGGAGGTGGCAGGGTGCCTGGTATGTCTGAGGAGTGGGTGAGGAGACCACTGTGCCAGGAACAAGTAAGCAGTGTTGCAGGAAATAAAACCAGAAAAGAAATGGGGAGCCAGATCTTACAGAGTCCCTGGCCATTTTAAGACCCAGTATTTTACTCTGGGTGAAATGAGAGATCACTATTTCCCAGGAGAGAGACACTGTTTTGACCAGGTTCCTCTAGCTGCCACTCTGAAAACAGACTACAGGGACAAGAATGGAAGTGGAGACACCAGCTGAGAGGCTACTGTGAGAGAGGTAAACAGTAGCAGCAGTGCAAGTGGGGCCATGTCGGACATACTATAGTTAGATGGCGGCACCAATAGGATTGTAGGTGCCGGATGTGGAGTATGGGGGGGGAAATGTCAAGGATGACTGATTTTTGCCTTAAACATGTGGAAGGTCAAGCTGATATTGACTGAGGTGGGGCAGGAAGGAGAGTGCAAGAGATTGAATTTGGACCTATTGTGTGCAAGATGCCTATTAGTATGGATTAAGAAATATATGGTAGGACCATGACCCAGGCACTCTAGCAAGGTGGGCCAAGACTGTCAGATCCACGTCTCCTTGGCTTGTCCACAGGTCTCCCAGTGGCCTGCCTCAGCTACCGTGCTTCCAGCTGGCCTGACAAGGGGACCCTAGCACTGTTTGCTCCTGTAACTTCCGTGGCTCACACACGCTCTCGCTGTAGTTCCCACTCTATGGCTAGCCCCTGGGACTTGCACAGACCATGCCAGCTACAGCTCCAACCAGCCTGCCAAGGCAGTCCTGGTGTGGACCTCCTTGTGGCAAACACCCACTACAACTCAAGCTCCCAGCCCTAGTGTGGCTACCTCTGGGACTCCCCAAAGCTCTTGAGCAGGGTGCCTAGTATGTCTGAGGAGTATGTGTGTGGCTTGCCTCTGGGACGCCCCTTGAGCTGTGGGGAGTTCCAGAGGTAACTCCAACCAAGTGGCCAAGGCAACCCTGGTGCAGTTTGAGCCTTGATCTCTCTACAGCAAGCATGTCAAACTGCATGTGGCGCACAATGAATATTTTTCTGGCCCAGCCAGTATAAAGGTATGTAAGAAACATTTTAATAAAAATTTCATGACTTGCCCTAGCCGGCTTGGCTCAGTGGATAGAGCGTCAGCCTGCGGACCGATGGGTCCCAGGTTTGATTCCGGCCAAGGGCACATGCCTGGGTTGCGGGCTCGATCCCCAGTAGGGGGTGTGCAGGAGGAAGCAAATCAATGATTCTCATCATTGATGTTTCTCTCTCTCTCTCCTTCTCCCTTCCTCTCTGAAATCAATAAAGAAATATTAAAAAAAAAATTTCATGACTTAATTTTTAAAACATCCTGTTATAATTATTAATAACTACAACGTTCGCTAATGACTGATTACTATAATTGTGTTGCACTCATTTCCCTTACACGCCTTATGCGCAGGCGCACCATTTCTCTACACTAATACTAGCAGCTGCTTTCCACGTCATTAGTCTTGGACTGAATTGTCTGGTGTGCGCAACAGGAAATATTTTGCTTTTGGAGGACAAGGAAAGTAGGTTTATTTGCGTTATGCTTATTAATTTGTGCAGTTATTCAGTGTTTGGTAAGTTAATGTTCAAGAAAAAATATTAATTTTTATTAAAATGTTCTATTATGTCTCTATTAAAATAAACCCACATTTCTATGAAAATAGAAGCTTTTGTTTTTTTGTGGCCCACATAAACCTAAACCTTGTTTATTTGGCTTGTGTTAGCCTTTGAGTTTGACATGCTTGCCCGACAGCACATGCACGCTCCAGTGCCAGCTGCCCCGCGAAAGACACAAACCCATGCCTTTAAGACTGGGGGAGATTGCTGTTTTGCCGAACTCAAAGAAACAAAGAGAAAGAACCAAAATAAGACAAAAAATAGGTTCTAAACAAAAGACCAGAATTAGAAGTAAATGAAATGGGGAAAAGCTACTAGATAAAGACTTAAAAAAAACACTGATTAAGGATACCCACCAAACTCGGAATAATAACTCAGTGAAAACATCAGCAAAGAGATAGAAAATATAAAATAAAACCAATTAGAACTGAACAGTAACTGAAATGAAAAATACACTAGAGGGAATCAAGAGCAGATTAGCTGATGAAAAAAAAAATTAGTCTGTGAGCTGGAAGACATTGAAGTGGAAATCACCCAATGAACTAGCAAACAGAAAAAAGGAAACAAACAGCCAACGCTCAAGTTGGCAGAGTAGGTCAACTCTGAACTTGTCTCCTCCCAAGATCACACCAAAATTACAACTAAATTATAGAACAACCATTGAGAACCAGTTCAAGTGTAGCTGAACAGAACTGGCATAATTAACGATACAGAGGCAGCTACATGAAGACCGTAGGAGGGGCATATACTTGGACCGGGCAGGTCCCACACCCACAGTGTGGCAATTATGAAACGGCAGGGATATGTCAGCTGTGGAGGTGCGAGGAGTCTCAGCCCCACACCGGACCCGCAAGACCAGCGCATCCAGTGCCAGGAAGAGGAGTCCCTATAATATCTGGTTGTGCAAACCAGCTGGGATTGTGTTCAAAGACAAAGGGCTGCTAGACACTAGGCATTGCTCTTAAAGGGACCATGCACAGATTCACTCAAACTTATATACTCTTTAAGCTAGTGAAGGGGCTGCAACTCTGAACAGTTCCAGAAACATACCGGGAAGAACTGAATTTAACTTCAGAGTAAGGGCTGGAGCGGCAGGGGTCAGGACAACTCACACCAGGGATGGAAGCACTGGCTGGCACCACTGTTCCTCGGTTCATCTCTCCTCCCACCCAACCAGTTCTGCATATGTGGGCACCAACTCTTTCCATAAACTAACATTGTTTCCTCGTCCTGATCATTCCCTAAGACCCCACCCAACTTGCTCGCCAGGCCCTTGCCTCTTGAGAGGGCTCCTCTACATAAGCAGCCCGCTTTGGCTTGCACTGCAGACTTTCCTTCAAACCTCACACAAGTGATGGCTGTCCTAGGCTTGCGCTGCAGACTTTCCCAAAGCTCCGTAAACCCCAAACAAGCAGCAGCTGGGACCTTGCTGTGCATTGTAGCTCTTCCCAAGCGGCCCCAAGCCCAGTACCAGGAGAAATCGGCCTCAACTTATATTCTAACTCCCATCAGGTGGCCCCAAGCCTGGAATAAGTGGAGGCAAGACTTGGCCTGTATTGTAGTACAGTGGGGCCTTGACTTACGAGTGTCCCGACTAACGAGTTTTTTGAGATCCCAGCTGTCTCTCGGACGATTTTTTGCATTGAGTTGATAGAGTAATTTGAGTTAACGAGCTCCTTAATGAGCTCGGTCTCGGAACGAATTAAACTCGTAAGTCAAGGCCCCACTGTAGTTCCAATTAAAAGGCCACAAGATAGGCACAAGAGGCAGGCAGCCTCAGTTTGCAGTATAGACTCTCCCAAGCACCTTCAAGCCCAGCACAATCAACCAACCAACCACAACCGCAGGTCACTTTACAGCTCCTAACAAGAGTCATCGAGCCTAGTGGTGGCTCCACTTGTCCTGCACCAGAATCCCTCCCCAAAGTTCCAGCCCCAACAAACCTGGTAGATGGCTTCAGACCACACCAGAGTGCCACCTAACCAGTTCCACAAAAGGTACACCCAAAGAGCAGCCTTGGCTGGCACCACAGTTCTGCTAAAGCAACAGTCCGATCTGTAGGGTTAGTAACTTGTCTGCTGTAGTCACATCCAGCCCTCATAGTCAGCCAGCCAGAGATGGTCAACACCAATACATGGTGGTGGTGTAGCAGCAACTACAACAGGAGGGCACACCCAACCCACACAGGGGAAACCCCTGGAGCAACCAGCTCAGGTGACCAGAAAGACTGCAGAACTGTGCCGAGAGGACACTTTCTACGTAAGGCCACTCTGTCAAGACCAGGAGACATAGCGTTCCTACCTAACACACAGCAATACACACAGAGGTCAGTCAAATGAGGAGACAAACAAACATGTCCCAAATAAAAGAGCAGAGCAAAACTCCAGAAGAACTAAATGAAATGACGATAAGTAACCTACCAGATGCAGAGTTCAAAACACTGGTTATAACAATTTGCAATGAACTTGAGAGAAGAACAGATGATCTCAGGGAAAACTTCAGCACAGATACAGAAACATAAAAAGGAAAATGGAAAACTGAAACAAGAACCAACCAGAACTGAAGAATACAGTAACTGCAGAAGAATACACTGGAGGGAATCAACATCAGGTTAAAGCAGAGGACTGAATCAGTGATATGGAAGACAATGTAGTAAAAAAATACCCAATCAGTATAGCAAAAAAGGAAAAAAGAATTTTAAAAAATGAGGATAGCTTAAGGGATCTCTGGGACAACATTAAGGCCAC